AAAAAAAAAAAAAAAAAAAAAAAAAAAAAAAAAAAAAAAAAAAAAAAAAAAAAAAAAAAAAAAAAAAAAAAAAAAAAAAAAAAAAAAAAAAAAAAAAATATATATATATATATATATATATATATATATATATAACTAAAAATAAAAGGTAATAATATAATTAAGAAAAAAGAAAATTGTCATTTCCAATAAAAAAGTTAAGAAAAAAGAAACTTGAAGTGAACGACGTCGTTCTGCTGGTCATCGAGGAGGCCTGCCTTTTCCAGTTCTCACCTGTGCCAGTCTCTTCCGCCTACCCGCCAAAGGATAAAAAGTATAGCGCATAAAAACATGCCAAGCTTGCTCGGATTCAGAGCTTCACAGTTCGTACTCAAATCCTTTTCGTCTTCCTTCTCTCGTAATCTTTCCTCACTCAGTCTCTGCCAGATCATTTCCATATCCCAGCGAACCTTGGCGGTCATGGCCGGTGCTGATGAGTTTGTTAAGGGCAGTGTTCATCCGAATGGCGTCGCGGTTATCACTCTCGATCGTCCCAAAGCTCTCAATGCCATGAACTTAGGTTCATTTCTTTCGTAATTTTGATTCCATTACATCTGAATACTCGTGAAATTTGGGAGTTTAGCTTCATAATGTTGATTCTGTTTAATAATTTAGGCTCAGTGCTTAGGTTTTTAATTGCTGTAAATCGGGGAGAGCTCCCAATACTTTGAGAGTCACCTAGTGAATTGAAACAGTGTAACAGACCAAGTCCTACAGGAACACACTTATAAAAAATGTTTCGTAACGTGGGATCTCACAATCCACTCCTTTGGGGGCTAGCATCCTCGCTGGCACTGCCCGGCGTTTGACTCTGATACCATTTATAACAGCCTCTAAGTCTACCGTCGGCATATATTATCTATTTGGATTTTCCACTTCCCCTCAAGGTTTTAAAACGCATCCTATAGGAAGAGGTTTTTGCACCCTTAATAGGAATGCTTCATTCCCCTCTCCAACCGATGCGGGATCTCACAATCCACTCCCTTAGGAGCCAATTGATGTGGGATCTCACAATCCACCCCTTGGGGCCAGCATACTCGCTGTCACACTATCCGGTGTCTGGCTTTGATATCATTTGTGACAACCAAAGTACACCGCTAGCAGATATTGTCTTTGTGGGTTTTCCTTTCCGGGGTTCCTCTCAATGTTTTAAAATACGTCTGGAGAGGTTTCCACACCCTTAAAAGAATGTTTCGTGTCCCTCTTCAACCGATGTGGAATCTCACAAATAGTTATCGTGTTTGTGAGAAATCCCTCTAGCTTCTGAAGATAGGTAATGCCAGACTTTTTCATAGCAAATAGTTGGCTCCTATCAAGTGATTGAGGTCACTTGATTCGACAGCTTTTAGCTTACGACCCTCGTCCTGATGGGTCTGATGAGCATAAAAGATCCAATACTTTGAGAGGCATCTCCTTGCTTAGTGTCTGTCGTATGTATTGCTTTTAATTTTATATCCATAAGTGTCTGGTCTGATCTGCTTATATATACCTTGAGTCATCGCACGAACGATATCATCTGACCTTACTACATTGTGCATTAAGGTAACTTATTAAATTCTAGATTGGTAGCCAATATGACTTAAACGCATTCCCTTTAAGCCCTTTACTATTTACATGGTCCTGACGATCAGGCAATCTCGTTATAAAAGGTTAAGAGCAATGATGTTGTTTTAACTTTTTAAGCTTCAAAAAAGAAAGTTTTCAGAACAAGGTAATTCTATATGTGGATGTATTGACTATGAATATGGCGTTCTTCCCAGGATTTAGGGAGATTTTAATGTAACTTTAAATCAATGGAATTTGTTTACATATAATGACAGTAATATCTGGAAGATTGCATAGTTTAAGTATTGGTTTCGCTGTTCTTCTAATATGATAAAAAAAGGTGGTTTTTGGTTGGACTCTGATCTGATCTCTTATGGTTTGGTATGAATTATGGTTATGATTTCCTTTCTGTATTAATGTTTATCGACGATGCAGATATGGATATACAATACAAAAGGTATCTTGACGAATGGGAGGAAGATCCAAGGGTCAAATGTGTCCTTGTCGAGGGCAGCTCATCTCGTGCCTTTTGTGCAGGTAAAAGGATTAGGAACTGTTATTGATAAACATGATGATTATATAAAAGTACTGGAATTAATAATAATAACTTCATCAAATTTTTTGGGTTTGGTTTTTAACTTAATTCATTGCTGCTGGGTCATTTATCACCAATGCAGGAATGGATATTAAAGGCGTTGTAGCTGAAATTCAAAAGGACAAAAACACTCCTCTTGTGCAGAAGGTTTATCATTATTGTTTAAATTATTCTTGCTATGACTCTTGTTTAGTCCTATATTTTACCACCTGCATTTACTTGTTTATCTGTCTTCTTCATGCTTTGCATATTAATTCTTTGCTGAAAGTAGGTTGAGGAGGGGCGGATTTGAGCTAGAATATATTTTTATAGTCATAAAATAATGGTATCAAAGTCAAAGATGGGGCGTTGTGCTAGTGAGAGCGCCGAACCCCAAAGGGGGTGGACATTGGGCAGTGTGCCAGCGAGGACGCTGGACCTCGAATGGGGGTGGATTGTGAGATCCCACATCGATTTGAGAGAGGAACGAGTGCTAGCGACCCCAAAGGGTGGATTGTGAGATCCCATATTAGTTGGAGAGAGGAACAAAACATTTTTTTATAAGGGTATGGAAACCTCTCCCTAACATATGCGTTTTAAAAACCTTGAAAGGAAGCTCGAAAGGGAAAGCCCAAAGATGACAATATCTGCTAGCGATGGGCTTGGGCTGTTACAAAGTGCACCTGTGGTTAGTTTTAAGTCCTCCAGTTTGGACAATTGGCGCCTTTTCAAGTGAGAAATTTCTTTGGAATGCAAATGATCGTTTTATTATGTTTGAATAAAATGTAATTTTGTCACACACTATGTTGCATTTGAAGTCATTATGATATTTGTCTGTCAGGTATTTACAGCAGAGTATTCTTTAATATGCAAAATTGCTGATTACAAGAAGCCTTACTTGTCCTTCATGGATGGCATAACGATGGGCTTTGGGATTGGCTTATCAGGTCATGGCCGTTACAGAATCGTTACAGAGGTATATATACCTTACTCGTTGTGCTGACACGTGTCTTTCATTACTATGGTCCAAGATTATCTTTCCTGTCCCTAACTGTTCATGTTCATTCATATTTGTTTTTAATTCAGAGGACTCTTCTTGCCATGCCAGAAAATGGAATTGGTTTGTTCCCAGATGTTGGATTTTCATACATTGCAGCTCAAGGTCCAGGAGAAGGATCAGTTGGTATATTATCACGTCTACCAGAACCTAATTGTATGTATAATCATCTTTAGTGTGCTTTATTTTGTAATCACTGTTCGCTTTTTAGGGGCATACCTTGGACTGACTGGTAAAAGAATTTCAACGCCATCTGATGCACTATATGTTGGTCTCGGAACGCATTACGTCCCGTCCGGGAACTTGGGCTCGCTGAAAGAAGGACTCTTGACTTCCAACTTGTAAATTTTCGTACATCTTTTTATCAAAAGTTTCCCATTTATACAAAAAAAAAAAAAAAAATTATTCAATGAGGCTGCCATAATATAGTTGTCTTTTTAAAACTAACAGCTTCATTGTAATGGTCTCCTCTAATAATTTCTCCGCTATTTTGCTTCTTCACGAATTAACCCGATGAAGCGGCGACCGGTGACAGTTGATTGAAGTAGTTGTTTGTTTTTTTCTTTTGCAGTTCCGAGGATCCCCATCAGGATATAAAAACACTCCTGGCAAAATACAGTAGCGATCCTGAGTCTCTACCAAGTTTGAAGTCATTTTTACCTCAGATAACTTCATCTTTTGGCGCTGACAAGTCTGTTAAGGAGACGGTTGAAGAACTAAAGAAACACCAACTTGATTCAGATTCTTCAGGTATGGTTTATGTTTTAAAAAGTGTGTAATAAGTTTTTAAATTTACAAATTTGTATCTAATCGGATTTTGACTTATTTGACATTTTAAAAATTTACGAACTTACTCGAGAAAGTTTAGAATCCTGTTAAACATAAAATTTATTGTTATATCTGATAGTTTATTTAATTTATAAACATTTCAAGTATGGAAGAAACCTAATAGATGTAAAGTTGGAAGTTTAAAAACTTTTTGGGTACGTTCTATAGTTCAAGAACCTTTTAGATAGAAACTTGAAAGTTTAAAGATTAAACTTGTGAGATCTCACGTCGGTTAGAGAGGAGAAGGATGTGGAAATCTCTCCCTAGCTAACACGTTTTAAAAACCTTGAGGGGAAGCTCGAAAGGGAAAGTCTAAAGAGGAGAATATTTGTAGCGGTAGGCTTGAGCCGTTGTAAATGGTATTAAAGCCAGACACCGGGTGATGTGCCAAAGGGGTGGACACGAGGTGGTGTGCCAGCAAGGATGCTAGGCTCGGAAGAGAGGTGGATTGGGGGGTCCCACATTGATTGAAGAAGGGAACGAGTGCTAGCGAAGACGCTGAGTCCTGAAGGGGGTGGATTTTGAGATCCCACATTAGTTGGAGAGGAGAAAGATGTGGAAACCTCTCCCTAGCAGACACGTTTTAAAAATCTTGAGGGAAAACCCGAAAGGGAAAGCCCAAAAAAGACAATATATGTTAGCGGTGGGCTTGGGCCGTTACAAAACTTGCATCTAATTTAAATTTATATGTATGCACTTTTTATTCGAAGATAAACCAAGAGGCAATTGCCCTCCTCGGTTCTTCTTTTCTCTGCCCTCGCTCAGTCGCTCACTGATTATCATGTTCTCTATTGCAGTGGCGGAGTGGGCTAAAGAGTCTCTTCAAGGAATCGGAAAAGGCGCTCCCTTTTCATTGGCATTGACACAAAAGTATTTCTCCAAAGTTGCTGCTGCAGTTGGAAGTAGTAACCACGAATTATCCACGGTGAGTCGGCCGATTTTACTTATGCTATCTTCTTCTTAGCCTCGTTGACGCTATATACCTTATTTGCTTTGCTTCTCTTACATATCCATGAACATTCGAGTCTACGCCCATCTTTCTGAGTTCAATGAGGGTTTCACTCTTTTATATTCTGTCGAGAGTTTGGATTAATCCACATCAGTGGAACAAAAAGGAGAAATTCTAAATTCTAACTAGTTAAATTCAGGCTCTTTGGCACGCCTTTCATATTCTTGTGTGAAAATTACTAGATGATCTCGACATAATTTTTATAGTGACACTTTTTCTTTATATGCGCGGTATGCAGCTCAATGGTGTTATGAGAACTGAATATCGTATCGCCTTAAGATCTTCCCTGCGTGGCGATTTCGCTGAAGGAGTTCGCGCAGTTTTGGTGGACAAGGATCAGGTTAGGTTCTCTTCAATTGCCTCCCAAATTTAGTCTTCTTTTTTCATAGAAAGATATTTCGTTTTTGCATCTCATGGGCTCTCTTATACGAGCATTTTAAAGTTAAATTTTTTATTAGATACAAAATTAATAAGTTGGGAACTATTAGACATTGAAAGTTCATAGACTGTGAGATCCCACCTCGATCAGAGAGGGGAACGAAACATTCCTTGTAAGGGTGTGGAAACCTCTTCTCCTAGTGGATGTGTTTTAAAAGCTTCTAGCGGTAGGCTTGGTCTGTTACAAATGGTATAAGGGTCTGACACCGGGCGATGTGCCAACGAGGAGGCTTTAACCCTAAAGGGGAGTGGACACGAGGTGATGTGCCAGCAAGGATGTTGGGCCTCGAAGTACGGAGATAAAAAAGATATTTTACCCGTAATTTATTTTAGAGCTTAATTTTTTTGATATTCTGATGTGGCAGAATCCCAAGTGGAATCCATCAGCCTTGGAAGATGTTGATGCAAAAGAAGTAGACTCCCTCTTCGAACCTGTAAGTCCAATGGCTGAATTAGAAGTCTGAATTACAAAAATGACATCAGAAGATGCTTAAAACTGCAGGGAGCAACAAAAAATTACTGGAGAAATTGTAAACTTTGGTAAATATTTGAACTCTTCCTCGAATACGAATAAGGTCCCAAGACTGCCCTTTGAATGTTTATACTTTCTTTTATGGAATCAAATTATGGTTATGGAAATAGGCATCAATTTCAACGGCTTCAGAATCCAATTCCCACAAGAACATAAGCAAACCAATCCAATCAAGCATTGAAGCAGATTTTTGAGGGATTAGGACCTGCATTTTATCTAAAAAAATATCTTTAAATTTTTTAAAAAGTTTAAAAAATATCCTCTTTACCATTAGATTTGGACTTTGTTTAAAAAATATTTTTCAAAATTTTCATTTTTCCCTTTAAACTTTCTTAAAAATTTGAAAAACACCTTTTAATTACCTTTACTCACCTTTACACGTTTTAAAAATGCTTAAAAAGTTTGAAAATTTTAAAAATAATTTATGAGTTGCGACAACATTTTTTAGGAAATTTTATGGGTATTTTTTAAATATTTTTAATGGATGGATATTAATTAATTAATTATTATTATTTGTGAGTTAGAAAGGTATTTTTGAAACCAGAAATATTTGGTAAGGACATTTTTTATATCTTTTTAAAAAAAATTTATGTATATTATTGAAACATTGAAAAGTTTATAGGTATTTTTGTAATACATATTCAAAATTCATATAAAAGTTTAAAAATCAATTTTAGAAATCACTACATAAATGTTTGATCTATTTGAAAGATTATTTATTTTTGTTTTAGAAAAATTAAGTTTTGAAAGATAAACAATATGATGGATTACTATTTATGTTTGTAATATTTCCTTTAATTAGTAGATTTTTTAAACATAAAAAAAGTTAAATAATAATCAAATTAATATCAAATGAGAGTAGTGTTATAAAAAGTGTTTTTTTAATAACTTAATAACAAATTAAAATATTATAAATTAAATAAGTAAAGTTGAACCACACAATTGAAAATGTTAAAAATATTTAAAAACTAAATAATTTTAAATTTTAGTTTAAAATTCTGAACAAAACACAATGAAAATTAATTTTTTAAGTTTAATAAAATATTCCTTCAATTTGTCTCATATTATTTAAAAATTTAAAATTTTAAAATTGGATGATCACACGTACGAACGAACGAGGTTCCCTCGTCATCGGCTCCATTTCCATATAAAAAGTGACGACCTGCCAAATTTCCTTTCGTCCCGCCTCTTTTTCATTCTCCATCGTTCTTCAATTCATCAATCTTCCCGCCGGATTCTCTCTACGACTATGTCTTCCTCACTTCAGTCCCCTTTTCCGGCCATCAGAACCGTCACCATATCGTACTTAGAGCTACAAGTAAGTCAATCTGAGCCATTGTTTGGGAATCGAGAAAGTTCAGACTGAATCACCGAACTTCATTTTTCTCGAATCATTTTGATTTATTCTTGCCTTTTCGTTGTCATTTTGTAGTCGCAGTTTGCTGTTTGAGTTGTTTGTTTCTTTGTCATGGCGATCCTGCATGATATAAATACTAATTCGTAACGAGTAATTTTCAAGTGTTTTTTTTACGTGTTGGTGGAATTTGATGAACACAGGATCGGACTGTTGACTTGTCGGCGAAGATTGAAGAAGGATTCGGACCGAAGGGGCTGGGAATTCTATCGGTTTCTGATGTATGTTACACGTACGCACTCATAGATTGTTGATTTCTGTATTTTCTTGTCGTTGACCTTCTTCTTCTTCAATTTGACACTGATGGCGTAAACTATCGTTTTATTTATCCTAAATATTCTGCTACTTTTTATTCCTTAACTTTAGAAATACGTGATTTCGAGATGTAATTGATCATACACGGTTTCTACGAATATTTTCGGAGTTTTATCTTGGGATGGGTCTCAAATCGCAGGTCCCTGGATTTCCGTCCTTGCGGCAGGACCTTCTACGTCTTTCATCGAGGTATAATTTGATCAATGGAACTGCTAGCTATCTCTGATCGCTTTAAGATTTTGAGTAATTCAGCTAATACTTAATGCATTCGTTGGTGAAATTTCTGCCTTCTAAGATTAGCTAGGTTACCAGAAGATGCGAAGAAGGAGCTGGAAGACCCGGATAGTAGGTACTTCTCATGATGCTTCTGAAGCCACCCATCTCTGAAATTATCAGTTGCTTGTTTATTATCAATCACTTTGATGTGCTTTGAAGTTTAATCCACTTAATGGCATGAGTATAATTATTAAGAAATTTACGCATCCTATAAAGTCCTTAAATGTCAAGTGAATTTAGCGAATCTCTAAATATATAAAATACGTTGTAACCTATGTCACATTTTAGATAGCAGTGCATTGTTATATTTTTGTGCTCAGTAATCTGAAATTTTTGTATTAGATATTCAAAATTAATCGCACTAGTTTTGGGCCCTTTATTTATAAAACTCATGCAGGTGATATCTTCTTTCCGGGGGTGCTATCTTGTTTTACTTTGTAATGAATGCAATTAGTTTTGTTTTTAAGACAATTTGTTGAGACAGCCTCAAGGTTGGGTTTAATTTGCAGTGACCTTCTGTTTCTCTTCATGTTCATCTAGGTATAATTTTGGATGGAGCCATGGGAAAGAGAAACTTGAATCCGGGAAGCCTGGTATACGATTTTTATATGTTACGCTGTTTAAATAAGCAACTAGAGTAATTATGGTTCATTGTTTATGCTGTTTAGTCATGGGAGACCTTAAATCTGCACTGAAGCTGTTGGTAACTAAAGAAGAACATTGCCAAGATTGCATTATGTGATTATTGGTAGTTTTTGTGTAGATTAAAAGCATTTGTGGTTTATGCTAGAAAATATGAACCTTCAGTTCTGTTTCAGCTTATTTTTCCATTTGGATTTTAGCTGAGGCTGGGTAAAATCTATCTCTAATATGCATTTCAACTGTGCAGATTTGTTGAAAGGCTCATTCTATGCCAATCCAATATTGGATATCCCAACAACGGATGCATCTTTAATTCAAAGGTAGTAGTAGCTTCACTAGTTCAGCTGCTAATTTCTGCATGTCACTTTTCTTGCTCTGACTTAATCTATGTTCCTTCATTTTAGTTCTTTTCAATTTTTTCTAAGTAAAAATGAATCATATTTATTGGTATGTTATCATTCGCCATCTACTTTTTCAGGTATCCATCATACTGTGGTTCAAATATTTGGCCCACTAAAGAACTCCCAGAACTTGAATTAGGTATACACTAGATGAATTATGTGATTTTATTTGCTACATAATTGAGACTTATTGTTCTGCAACGTGAATCCATTTAATTTGTTGCTTGACTCTGCCTCCATGCCACTTACAGATTAACAAATAATCGTAGAAGAGGATTTTCAGAATATGCTGTTGATTTCATGCATTGTGAATACTTCTTTTTTAACTTTCAATTCATCAGAAACTGTTTCTCTTATGTTTGCAACTTTACTAAAACCTTTGCGGTATTTTATTCATGTTGTTTTATTTCTGGAAATTGCTGCTTTATCCACTTGTTTCTATACGTATGTTTCTCTCTCTTGTTTTCTTTTCTTTTCTGTTTTAATTCACAGGTAGAAACTTCTGATTGTTCTAAATTTTCATCATCTTGATTAGTTGTATACGTTATGTTGAGATACTTTGGATTTTTTTTTTTTTTATTAATGAGATTTGATAATTGGTTTTCAGCCTTCAAATCTCTTGGAAAGCTGATTCTTGATGTTGGTTTGATGTTGGCATATCATTGCGACCAATATGGTAAGTTTTCTCCTCCTGAAAAACTGTAACAGTCCAAGCCCACCGCTAGTAGATATTATCTTCTTTGGACTTTTCTTTTGAGCTTCCCCTCAAGGTTTTAGAATGCATTTTATGGGGAGAGGTTTCCACACCCTTATAAAAAATGTTTGGTTGAAAACTTAGCTCGAATGAAGAAACTATTCAATTGAATGCTGGTGGTGTTGTTTTCTAAAGCATAATTTTGCATGGTCCAGTTAACCGTTATTATTGTTCTACGATGAACAATTGGTTCCTTAAAAGTGAAGAGGCTTCTTGATTAACCAGATGGAAAATCCTGATGGAAGTTTAGTTCATTTTTTTTTTATAGAAAATATATGCTCCATTATGCTTATAATATGCTACTGCTTTTATATTTAGTTATGGTATTTGCAGTTACGCTGTCAGTTTCTGATTTGTTTATGGACAGCTGCTAAAATGATGAAACTGCACGAGGATGAAACCCTTGAAAAGATACTTCTCAACTCCCGGTGTCATAAAGGGCGTTTGCTTTATTATTTTCCAGCAAACCAGAGGTTATATACCCATCAATGTTGCAATTTACCATTGCTAATTATTTCAACTGTTTTTGAAGATCATTGTCTCTGAAGATCTAAATCTCAAATTTTCTTGGTAAAAAAGCTAATTTTATACATTGGGATTAACTGCAGGTAAATATTGGGATTGAGAACATGGTCATGGTGGTAATCTTGCCCAACTGGGGTAAAATTAATTTTTACTTGGGAATTGCTTACCTCTTAAAGTATGACTTGCAGCACTTCTGATGAAGATAATGATAATCTATCCTCTTGGTGTGGATGGCATACAGATCATGGTTCACTAACAGGTAGTTGGTTTTTGTTCTTATCTTATTCTTATCATCTTCCCTCCCACCTCACCCTTTGAAAACCTTTTCAGGATTTTACTTTTGTGTTGGTATGTTATACTTGTACGGTGAGATCCCGTATTGGTTGGAGAGGGAAACAAAACATTCCCGAGAAGGGTGTAGAAACCTCTCCTTAGTAGGCGTGTTTTAAAACCATGAGGTTGACGGTGATATGTAACAAGCCAAAATGGATAATATTTGCTAGCGGTGGGTTTGGGCGGTTACATGTACATTTTATGTATGAAAAAAAAAAAAAACATCAAAGAAGAAATTCTCAATAAGTTGTAAAACCACACATCGAGAGAGAAACGAGAGACGATGGCGGTTCGATCTTTATGATTGTTGTCATTTTTGTGTATTTTTAATTTCTTCAACTTAATTTGCAGGTCTGACCTGTGCAATGTTTACAAGAGATGGTGGGGAGATACCTTGCCCTGATAGTGCTGCTGGCCTTTATGTTAGGACAAGAG